GGATGATGTTATAGTTCAAAAGTGACAATTAGAAATATGTACAAATATACACAGATTCATAAATATACATACATATATATATGTATGTATATATAAGTATGTATGTAAATTTTTAGAAAATGTGTATCAACACAAATGTAAATGCATACATACGAACATAAATATGTGGATGATATAAAAAAAATAATTAGTGCTTGCATTCATTTTAAATTACACTATTTCGCTAAAAAAATATATTTAAAAAATTACAATAAGTGTTTCAAGTCCACGAAGGTGTTGGGAAGAATATCTGCCAAAGTTATAAAAATCTTGATAAGCAAAACAAAAGGTATTTTTTAATTTTCATAAATAAATACTTACGCAAAGGGTCTCTCTAAAAAAAAACAAAAAATATTTGTGTACATATGGGTTATTCTATAAACCTCAATATGTTTTTTCGTGTGAAATATTTTTTTTTTTACATTATATAATCGAAAAAAGAAAACACCAAAAAGTTTCTAAATTTTGGAGTCACAAAGAAGTATCTTTTTTAAATTTGTCGCAGTTAATAAACTATTTGTCGGAGAAAATCAGTTAAGTAACCAGAATGTGCGTAATTACCTCGGCTTTGTTTTAGAGCGTGAGATAGATTTAAATAAATTGTTTTTTTGCATTAAAAACTTGCGAGGTAATTACGCACATTTTGTTAGCTGATTTTTTATTAACTGCAAAAAGTTAAAAGAACATACTTCTTTGTGAGTTCAAAATTTCGGAAATTTTTTTCGAGATTTTCGAAGGTCATGATGAAATAAACAAATACATAGGTGTCTTCTTTTTCGTTAAAGAATGTCAAAAAAATAATTGAAACACCAAAATAAATATTGCGTTGTAAATTTTGTATTTAATCAGACTTGTTTATGCATATAGTGGGTGGCATAATGATAAGGTCACCCACTTATTGATAAGTTTTGACTAAATATTTGCTTGTTTTAATTAATTTTGATGTTTTTTTATAAAAGTATAGTTCATTCTATAACAAAAATCATATAAATCCAAGTTTCAAACGTTGGGCAACTTTTTTAGACATTCATGAAATTTCCATGACCCTTTCACATTTCTTATTCAGAATTTTTAGAAAATGTTTGTATATGCAGTTTTATAGCTCATTCAATTCTGGTGTAATCAAGTGCAAGTATGAAGTGGCTAGAACCTTTCTTCGATGTAACGAATGATCGCATTTTTATATGGAACCACCCTAACCTATGTATATGAATTAGGGCTGTGCGATTATTCGATTACTCGAGCAAGTTGGTTAATCAATTATTCGGTTAATCAATTACTCGAGTAATCAAGATTTTGATTACTCAAAACGATGATTAATCGAGTTACTTGAAATATGATTACTCAAAAAAAATAATTTTGTTCGTTAACAGAGTTTGCTTTGGAAAATGCTTATTTTCTTTTTTACATTCTGTATATGAAAAAAATTGTTTGCTTTAATTTTTGAAAACAGAAACGTTGTTTTCAAAGTATCAAGGAACTTTAACTACTTTATACATATGTAAAGAGTTGAAATGTTGATTACTCATTTTACTCGAAATGTTGATTAATCATAAAGCAAATTACTCAAATATTTTTGTTTTTGGTTAATCAAAAATCTTGATTACTCGAGTAACTGAACTTTTGAGTAATCATAATTTCCAATTAATCGAATAATTGAGTTATTTACTTTATGATTAATTAAAATTTTGAGTAATCAATTAATCGCACAGCCCTAATATGAATACATCGCACGTTTTATAATATACAGAATTATTTCACAATTTTTATTTTGTGGGAAAACGCAATGCAATTTACAGCAAAAGTGAATTTCAAGCAAAATAAAAATTCTTCGAAATTGACTTGACACGAAAACTCACCGCTAGAGAATCTGGACCCGTATACTAAGTTGGTTATTTCGAAATTTCGTAGGGACTTAGTTAATTTGAAGTATTTAAAATGTTTACATCAGAAAAGTGACAAAATTTTATAAAATATAAGGTATGCGACTTTTGAAAATTTTACTCCAAAAATGCAATTTGATTAGCTGTAAGCAATTTCGAAATAACTACCGGAAATGCGCTTACTAACACCAACACACGCGATTCAATTTCACACGCATGCGCGGGCAACGGCAATGCGGGCGACATCTGTTGATGAAGAGCTAAACTTTTCAATGGCAGAGCAGGCAGTCAAAAGCTTTTGGTTAACAGTCTTCAAGCAAAGATAACGAAAATATTTGTATGTTTGTGTGTATGTGCAATGTATCTATGCACCCGCATCTATGCGCTCTAAAGTTTTTAAAATTGCATTTTAAAGAAAAGTTTAAGCGTATGGAATGGTTGAAGATTAAAATTATTTAAATATTATTAAAATAACATTCACGCAGTTTCTGCAATTCACTTCCGAGTGAATTTCAACCCCATTCTATTTGAATTCATAGTGACTTTAGTTGAAATTCACTCGGATATTAATAGCAGAGCCTGCCTGATTAACTGTGAAAATGTAATAAATTTTTTATTAAATTTTCTAAATTATGTATTACAAATATTTTTGTTAGTTGATGGAGCAGGAAAATTTTTAAAATAATAAACCTTTCTACAAAATATAAAAAACATGGAAAAATAGCAAATAAATTAAGCAACGCCTGAAAGTGCTTTGAAAAATTTCAAATATTTTTGCAAACAGATAAAGTAAAAAATGTGCGCCGACGAATACATATAAAACTAGGAAGATTTAAAAAACTTGCTCAACGAAATATGATTTTGGAATATTAGAGAAAAAAAGTGCAATAAATTAATTTAAAAAAAAATTAATACTTCAAGCAAAAACATAATTATGTAAAGCAAATCAACACAAATGTGACGTCAAATTCAATGTGCCAAAATTGCTTGCAATCTACGTGCTGTGATCTCTCAAAGTTCCAAAAGAATCAACAACAAAAGTTGTTAATTGAAATTAGTCATAGTTAATTAATAAAATTTGATAATAAATATTTAAATAATATACAAAACTAGTCAATTAGCAAAATTAAAATAAAACAAAATAAAAATGAAATATATATACGAAAAAAATAAAAACTCAATAAAATTAATTATAAAAACTGCACTAAATTAAATTTCTAACGGCATTTAATTAAAAATTCACGAAAAAGTTATATAAAAACTAAGTGAAAATATTTTTTTTTTTTTTGTCATCAAACCGAAGAAATTTATCAATGTGATAAAAGTTTAGACAATTGAACTAATTTAGACAGCGCAAAAAAAAAATATAAAATAATATACATATAAAAACACTAAAAATGTCTGCTGTCAAACGCTGGATCTCCCGCTATGCCAACTCATCATCGTCTTCGACCTCATCGCCGCCACAGTCCAAAACAGCGCGTGGCCGCAGCCAATCGCTCGATGTGCAGGCGCTGGAGCGTAGCGGTGTACGAATGTTGCTGCAAAATGTAAATGGCGTAAAATTATTTTTCTTTCCAATAAAAAATAATAAGTCCGTAGGATATGTACAGTCAGAGTCAAAAGTTAGTATATATACCTTGCTCTAATATAATATTTACAATTATTTATATGAAATTTTTTTTTTACCAATTTCTTATGAAAATAAAGTTTATTCTGTAATATAAACCATATAAATCAAAGTTTCATACTTTAAATAAAATGTATAAAAATGTCAAGAATTTTCAATGAAATTTAAAAACTTTTTATTTAGATTTTTTAGAAACTTTTCTAGTATGCACACTGTTTTATACCACATTCAATTCTAGTACAAAAAGTGCAAATTTCAAGTCTATAAAAATTACCGCTGATTTTTGAGATTTTTTTTTTTTTGTTGAGGGTGTTGCGCATTTTCTTCCATATAAAAATAAATACTAATCATGCGATATAGGGAAGAAAATGTGCAACACCCTGCATAAAAAAAAGTTTTAATTCTTAAATAAATTCTCAATAAAAAGTTTGAAATTTTGATAATTTTTTTTTTTTAAATTTCTATGAATTTTATTTAAAGTATGAAACCTTGATTTGTAAGGTTACGTTATAGAATAAACTTTATTTTCATAAAAAATTTGTGAGCATTTTTTTTTTAATGGAAATAATTTTGAATATTATATTAGAACAAGCTGTATACTAACTTTTAACTCAACTGTTAACTAGAAGGTTCAAAAGGCAAGTGTATTACCGATGATCGTTTACGTCAGATCTGGTTTCTAGTTATGAATTTTTAAGCAAATATAATTTTGGTATAAAATTTTTCAAATTTCTTTAATAGTGGGTGGTGTTTCGCTGTATGTCCGATATCGATATTTTAGTATGAATGTATAAGGCCTTGATGCCAGCGGCTTTCGGTGATCAGATATCTTTTTTGGCACAAATGTCAGTTACGAGGTTTTGCAGAACCACGATACGCGGTTTTTTACTTCAAACGGCGATTTTATTTTCTTGTAGCTGGCCGACCCAGGAATAGAGTATCGAAAAAAACTAGATTCAAAAAATAATTTGAATATACAGGTGACTCAAACAAATGTTTACCTGTTGATTTCCTTTAATATTCACAATGATCTTCAAGTTAATATTTTGTTTGTTATTTTTTATATACCAAAGCCAACATGATTATGAGCTAAAAGCTGCATACCCAAAAATTTTCAAAAAATTCATATTAAAAAGTTCGAAATTTTGAGGAAAACTGTTTGAATTTTTTTAAATTTTGTATAAAGCATTATCAATATTTATATTCAAAACAAAGACAAAAAAAATTAGCTTGTAAAGCATTGTGAATGTTAAAACATTAACTTTTGAACACTTTTTTTAGTCACTGTATGTACAAATAAATACATTTTTGTTCTTCCAAACAACTTTTACTCGAATTTTTTAAGTTTCCGTGTCTTTTAAATTTTAATTTGGTAAAATATTTCTTTTCATTGCAACCAAAAATCATTTTTTGCAATATTTACTATTTTTTCTTTTATTTATTTACAGCGAGCAGCAGCACATCAACAACAATTGGCGGTGCAAAGTGAGTACAGTACCAACATATAAATTATTAAATATTTAAATTTTATTATTATTATAAAAAAATTACAACAAGTAACGGAAAAGCTTGGCATTTGATTAAGCTGATAAAGTTTTGCGAGGAAAACTTTTTGAAGTGTTCCTTTAACTCTTTTCTACCTCGCTTTTATTAGCTCGGAATGTTTAATGTATGTATGTATTTTTAAAGTGTTTACTATAAATGTGTATGTAGTAATTAATGGATCTTCCTTCAGCTATGAAGTTAAGAGTCATATCTGTGAGTTATGGTGGTCCTATCAACATTTATTTTCTTCCACGTATAAAATAAAGACATGCATGCAAATTTCAAAATGTTCAAAAAATGTTTAGCATTCGCTAGCAGAATTCTGTTTAAAAACTCGTGAAAATTAAGAACTTATATGAATAAGTTTCAGTACGAAGTCAAAGTAAAAATTTTGTCGAATTTTTGCGATGCTTTCTAATTTTTAAGTTTTTCACACCCTGCTAGCGGCCCCTAAAAATTTGTTTAAAATTTGGAAATTTCGTGCGTATAACAAAATAAAGGGTCGCTCCATACAAAATTTTACATGTTGATATTTTTTAAGGGCCACCCTAATGTGAGCACGTTTTAATTTAAATCGTTAAATTAAATTAGTGAATTAGCATAATTGATTCATCGTCTATACGCATAGATAATCTACCCATGTGAACTAAATCGACGCTAGAAATTTATGCAAATTTAATTAAAAAGTTCAATGTGTTAAAAATTCAACGCCACCGATGTTAAAAAGTGTGAATCGTAATGTAAGCATCGTGTAAACAACAAAATTTCAGCGTATGGGTAACAACGTAACAAAATGCCACAAAATGTGCATACAAAAAAAAAACGACACTTTGTGTAACCTTGACTTTGAAAAACTTCCCGGTAAATAAAAAGAAGGCAATGCGCAACGAGAATACGAAAAACTGGAGCAAATTATGTGCAAAGAGAATAAAATTAAACAAAGAACCCGTTTTGGGTGACTACGGTGCATAACCCAGATAAAATTACTTATGTATATACATACATCATAGTACATATTTAAAATGAAAATAAAAAACAAGAACATAAAAACTGCAGTTAAAAGATACTCGTTTAGGGGAGACAGATACATACATATGTATGTACGTATAAGATCCACGAGGAATGCATGATCGCGCATTTGTCCATACATACATATGTATATGTATATGTGCACTTGTATTTTGATAGTGCATACATACATATGTGAATATGTTACGCACTCGCACCATATGTTTATAAACAAACATGATTACTGTCTAAAAGGAAGGGTAATAAGAAATAAGAAAAAAATTTAATAACAAAATTTTTAACCCTAGAATGCAAACTTTAAAACATACCTTTTTTAATAACGCCTGCTGCTGCAACCTGCGGCCACAGGCGGGGCCGTCGAGAAAAAACTGGCGCCCAACTAAAATTGGTTAATTCTGTAACACCTATTTCAACGTTTATGTCGATCTCGGTTACCGTCTCCAGCTACGACGTTTGCAAAGAACACCATGTGAGTAAATTTTAGTGATTATAAATATGACAGGGTTTACATATCATGTTTCTATAACTACATAGACTAAAAGGTATAAAAGGTTGCGAAAATCGTAAACCTTTGACTTTTTGAATAAGTGACAACTCTAATCAAAAATATTTTCAAACTTAAGCTTTCATGATATAATAATGTTTCATATAACTTTCTGTTTAACTAGATTCCGCTTTTCAAACAGGTGGCAACTCTTTTCAAAAGTATGTGCAAACTGAAACTATCTTACGTTTGACATTATGATACATATTTCGTATTAACTGATTAATTAAGCTTAACTTTACTTTTTAAATAGGTGGCAACACCACCATCAAATAAAGCTCTTTAAAACCCATTTCCATTCATACCCACCATTTAGTACGTAATTCTTTTAAGTAATTTAATAATTTCAGTTTAAATTTGAAAACATGTGGCAACCATCTTTAAATAACTCTAAAAGTTTTCTAATAACCTAATTCATAAAAAATAAAATAAGTGTAAAGAGCCCTATAAAGTGACATTTTCATGAAAATTTTCGATTTCGCTTGACACCCATATTATGTATAATTTAATTCAATTCGACTTTTCAAACAGGTGGCAACCGTCTTCAAAATATTTTGCTTGTGTCGGACACCCATATTGATATTTATTTAAGTTTTGTGCTAGTTCCCTTAATTATAGTTGAATTTGACTTGTTAAACAGGTGGCAACACTCCTACACACACTTAAAGAAAGTTCCTTAAAACCAATTTTTATTGATATTGACCTTTTAATAATGCATTTAACTTACTAAATTAGGTTAGTTTAAATTTGACCTATCAAACAGATGGCAACACTCCTGCACACATATGTAGCTCTTTAAACGTAGCTCCTTTGATTCCAACCTTTTAGTAATCCATTTAACTTATTAAATAATTTGTGTTTAACATTTTAAACGTGTGGCAACGCTCTTCAAACACCTCAAAAATACTCTAAATGTTTAACCTAAAAGTTTTTTAACACTTTTTCGTTTGACACCCATATTTTAATATTTCAAATAAACTGTGTAGCTATAATTTAAATAAATTCAATTTTTAAAAGAAGTATTTTCTAACTAAACCCTACTTAAAGCCTTTGTGTGCGACACCCATATATGTATGTAGCTAATACCCTTAAATAAGGTTGAATTTGACCTTGCAAACCGTTGGCAACCCTCCTATATGTAGTTTAGAAATAATGCCTTTTCAAAATCATTTCGTTTGGTATAAATTTTTTAATAATTCAGTGAACTCTTTAAATAATTTGAATTGAATTTACGTGGAATTACAGGTGGCAACCCTCTTAAAAAAAACAAAAACATTATTGCACAACTACAGGCCTCTAATTTGACACGCAATTTTGGAAAATCGAACGAACCGTTCAGATCTGTTTGCATTCAGCAAACGATCGCCCCTGCCTACTTTAACTCCTCAACTGGCCGATAGCCATTAATTTATCCCATCTTCAGCGCCGTGCGATAGCTTACTCGTATCTTAACTGCATGAGCTAACTTAACTTTATCTCAGCGTTGTCAGACAAAATACCATTCGCTTAAAAGCTTAACCGGCGACAAAGTAAGTGTAAAACTGAAATCGTCTATATCTTTTTTAAAACTCGATGCAGCCAGGTTCTGAGCTACATATACTCAAAATTTCAAGTCTGCAGCTCATCGCGAAGTTGTTGGTAAAAGAAAAAAAACTCGCATTACATATTCCAGCCGGCTGCATTTTGATTATTTCCGGTGTATATATGTATTTATTTGTATGTATGTACATATGTCATACATATAAAAACACTTCGCCTGTTTTGTGTCTGGCTGTACTCGACCATTTAGCAATTTTTTGGGTTTCACCTTGAAAGCTGTGGTTGTTGCATTTTATGCGCTTACGCTCCCTCATGCCAGTATTGAAAAAAGCCATTCCCTTGTCGTCCTTAGCTACATACATACCTTTATTAAACTTTTTTATTGTACATATTCAGTATATATATATATGTATGTATACATATGTAATTTTCACTTTCGTTAACATATGTATGTTGATCAACTAAAAAATAAAATCATACAAATTTATGCATAAAAACATATGCATGTATGCAGGTACATTTGAAGGCGAGGAGGAGGTGCACCGAGACATGCAATTGTTGTGAATGCTCAACACAGGCAACCCTTTTAACTCACTGCAGCTGCTTTGTTTGGTTAGCTCTTTTTGGCATTTCTTTTTCATGCAATCCATCTCACTGTATGTACCATCACGTTCCATTTAAATTCGTAAACATATAGCCTGCTTAAAAACAAAAATAACTCACATATGTACATAAGTATGTATGTATGTATGCATGCATGTACCTACAGAAATTACGAAAGCTAAATGCAACGAAAAGTCGTATGAAAACAAAAGCCTGAAAAATTCCAGCCACGTCCTGCCGGCCACCTTGCCACACACACACCTCAGGCATGTTGTCCATACTTTCTATATATTTTCTTCGGACCCCCTCTTTTTTATTCTCACTTATTCTCACTTTGTCTTGCCATATACATATGTATTGGGGTTTCGTCTGCAACCATTTGTGCTTTTTTATGTTTGTAAATTTCTCATTTTTATTTTCGTTCGTTCTCATTTATTTTTATTTTTTATTTTTGTTGATACTGTTTGTGTTGGGCTTTATTTGTTTGTATGTACCCACATACATACATATCGTTATATCTTCTCTGACTTGGAATAAATGTTGACTGGAGAACCAATGACGCAATTCTCCAACAGCTCAGCGTATAATAAACAAATGCGCATTCTTGAAAAGTTGATTCAGCTTGAATTATTTCTACTTAGTGCATACGTATGTATATTAGACTGCATCACTCCACATACTTAAAAAAAAATCGGTACTATTTTTCCATTGGAACTATAAAATCTATTACATATATTTTAAGACGTGCAACAAAATATTTCGAAAAAATATTAAGATTTAAGTGAGCTGGACCAATTTCAAAATACCTCCAAAAATGGAGTTTTTTATGAGTAAAAATAGTTTCTTAAAAATTTTTGTTGAAAAAATCCCCTCAAATGAAAAAACGGTTTAAGCTTAAAAAATTTGCATAAAAATATTTTTAAAAAATTAAAAACAAAAATTGAACGGAATCGTAATGATGCGATTTTTTATGCTGTTTTTTAACTTTTTTCAAAGATTGGTATAAGAAAAACTTGAATAACTGAGCCTCAACTCTTCTGATTCAGACTTAAGAGGTGTCGGTGGAAAGGTATTTTCTCACCCTTTTTATTTCTTTGCTAATAAACTCATTCAAAGGATGAAAGAGAAAGGTAGGATGAACGATCGTCATTCAAAGATGAATTAAGATGTGTTGGTATTGAAAAAAAAAAAAAATTGGAACACAAATGATTTTTTTTTTACAGAA